GTGCCACTTGAATGATTCAAAGGAGCCGTAATTCTGCTGTGACTGTCCAGTAGAGCTTTCCTCGGCTGGAGGGGAACTCCCTCCTGTGCAGCTGGGACTTGCACCTCCACCCCAACTCTCGGTTCAGAAGAGGTGGAAGATGGGAGGGAGTTGTAAGTGGTTGTGGTGAAGCAGAGCTCACTATAGCAATCCTTCACCAGTGAGGGGGTCTAAGGACATTATGTCAGGGGCACAGCTTCAAATTTCCCTCAAGCAGCTCCTAAGTATCATCCGGGCAGCCCCCCTCAACTCATCACTTTTGCAGTTTGGATGCCTTGTTAGAGTCCTATTTCTTGTTAGACAGTCATATGGCAGCCACGACCAAGATGGCTTTGTTTTAGCTGCATCTGGTCTGGAGATTGCCCGCCCTTTCTGCAGACCTCACTACAATCCTCCAGGCCTTTGTCTTCCCAAGAGTAGAACATTGTAACAAGTGCTACACAGGACTACATCTTAAACCAACTTGGTACAAGAAGCTAGAGAAGGAGGTGGCAGCCTACTTGTTAAGCAGGCTATCTTGTCAAGAGCACATTACACCAATACTCCTCAGGCAGAGTTCAAGGTTGTGGGTTTGATGTGTAAAGTTCATAATGACTTGTGACTTGCCTATCTGATAGACCCCCATTCTCCCGGTTCCTTACTGCCACAGTTGAGATTGGTGCAGTTACTGGAGTTAGAACTCCCTTGGTATAGGAGAGAAGGAGTTGTTGGCAGGGCATTCATTGTGGGGGCTCTTCGCTTGTAATTCACCTATATTATTATTTATTCGTTGTATTACATTAATATCTTCTAGTCCACAAAGAGCTTATGACCCTGTTTCTGACAAGACACAACAAAAGAGGGACATATAGTTGGAAGGTAACAGTAAAATGTGCATCTCATGTAACAGTAAAACGGACACATTTTTCAGGGTAAGGAGAGACTCCATCTTTCGTCTGAAATATCCCAAAGATATTGAGTTTAAGGGCACTCTTCAAAGCACATGTATTGGGTAAGCATTTGGGAAAAGTTGACATGTTGGGTAGGAGGGGACATTGGGAGTAAATCTGAATTGGGAGATTAGGGTTTTGTGGGAACTGAGGTGGGGAAAAATTGGTTTTGGCTTCTTGTACGATGGTTGCTGTTTTGACACTGGTGTTTTTGACTTGATTGGATTGTATTTTTAATTGTCAAAGGTGCCAAGTCTCATTTTAAATGTTTATATTTTAAAACCAAACTAAATGCAGAAATAAAAAACTCAACTCCAGAGTGGCCCCATAAGTAATACAGTGGGTGCAATTTAAAAGGCAACATTTAGCCATGCAACAGTATTTGACTTTACAGCAGTGTTTCCTAGATTCAGACTAGGATGTAGCTCTGATATTGAGCTCAAATACCACAGCATTAGGGTCTAATAATAAGAGATTCTGCTATAAACTGCTTGAAAGTGAAAGAGGAATAAAGAGACCCTGGTGTTTTGGTCAGTCACAGGATGACTATGAGCCACCTTTGTAATGTGGCTGTAACAAAAAATCAAATGTGATCCTAGGATGTTTGCCATGTTTTGTAGCTGTGTTGGTCCCAGGGTATTAGAGAGACAAGGTGAGTGAGGTAATATCTTTTATTGGACCGACTTCTATGGGTGAGAGAGACAAGTTTTTGAGCTACATAGAGCTTTTGAGCTAACTTCTTCAGGTCAGACCTTGTACAATGTATTAATTTTCATTGCAGGTCAGAACTAAAGAGTAGCTTAAAAGCTTGTCTCTTTCACCAACAGAAGTTGGTCCAATAAAAGAAATTACCTCACCCACCGTGTCATCCTAGGGTTTATCAGGCAAGTTATTTCCAGTAGAGATAAATTAATACATCAAAAGAGGCTCCGGTAAGACTTCATTTGGAAGACATTTCTGGTCACCCTATGACCAAGAAAGATACATTCAAACTGGAATAGTTGCAGAGAAGAGTTACTAGGATGAACAGAGGAATGCAGATCCTATTTTATGAATAGAGATTAAACGAGCTAGGCTTGTTTAGCATAGCAAAATGAAGGCCAAGAAAGGATATGACTGATGAATGCATCTGGGCGTAAACTCAAAAGAGAGGATGAAAACCTATTATTAATGTTATTTTTTATTTATTTTTTTATATTTTTAAATGAGATCTAGTTTATTACTTATTGCCCTAGTTAGCAACAGACTTCACTGAAACACCTGAACTTTTCTTGTTTGTTACTTAAAGCCATAATTCTTTCCTTCACACCCAAATTTCAAACCAAGTTCTCTTGAAATGTGATCCATGTTTGCTAATGAGACCCAGGAGCGGCGCCAGGGTTTTTGGTGCCCTAGGCAGGGGTCCTTCCGCGCTCCCAGTCGTCTTCGTCAATTCTGCGGCGGGGGGATCCTTCCGCGCTCCCGGTCTTCGGGGCACTTTGGCGGCGGGTCCCGGAGCGAGTGAAGGACCTGCCACAGAATTGCCGCCGAAGACCCAAAGCGTGGAAGGAGCCCCCCGCCACCGAATTGCCGCCGAGGCAGCAAAATGCCGCCCCCTCCCCCCCCCCCACAAATCCTGGCGCCCTAGGCGACTGCCTAGGCCACCTAAATGGAAGCGCCGGCCCTGATGAGACCCTCACCCAAATTAGTTGTGTGTGTGTGTGTGTGTGTGTGTGTGTGTGTGTGTGTGTGTGTGTGTGTGTGTGT